TATGTTTCCTTCTTATTATTATCATTTTTTTGTATTACAAAATAATTTTACAAAAGAAAAAAACATATATGGATATATACGGACATATTTTGCATATAATTATATATTTTTATATATGGTATGTTTTTATATGAACAATTTTTTCCCGGAATTATATATATAATTATATATGTAGGTATATATAATTCGTGAATGCTTTTACAAGAAAACGAGCGTAATACAGATAATATGTAAGTGTATTTATATATTATAAATAATAAATAATATATAATAGCAAATATTATATAATTAGTACTTTTACTTACAATCTGTATACATAGAATTATACGGTGCAACTATAGCACCGAGATAACAACTCGCGTAAACTGGTATAAACCAATTTAATCGATTTTCAGCTGCGATGCCAATTCTATCCCCGATTTTTATCCCGAATTCTTGTAAAAATTTCGCAAACTTCACGCTTTTCTGGAGTAGTTCTCTATATGTCATCTGATTGCCGGTTGGTCCATCAATCTACAAGAAAAAGATATTCTTTTACAATTGTATAAAATTATTATAATTATGAGATATTCTAGAAAAAGTGAAATATAATTTTTTTAATTGAGCTTTACATATTAAATGAATACTCGATTTTTTAAATAATATACAATATATCGAAATATGTTGCGAAAATTATATACAAAAGTCTTACACTAAAATTTAAGTATAAGATACAAATGTGTTTAAAAACTATAATGTATTTAATAATATAACTACACAAAAACTATATTCTTATAACAGTAAAATACATAATTAATTGAATATTGCCCTTTTTAATGTCTTATCTTTTTAAAAAATATTTAATATCTTATAAATTTCTAGTAATCTTATAAATTTCTTGGAATTTAAAAGGAAATTACATAAAAATGCTACGTGCACAAACTAAGTGTTACAAGCCAGTAGTATAAGCGATGCATAATGCAACATTGAAAATTCAAAGAGAGAACTCGCGAATTTCATCTCGAATTTCGATTAGCGCCGGTTACAAAAAAAACTTTCGTTATTTTGGCGCACTTCATTATTACATCTCGAAATTTCGCAGGCAATCGATCTGTAAGTAATTGCCAATTGCTATCATGAGTTTCATGTAAATTATGATACATACTGCATAAACACGATTGTTGTTCTCGCGCAATTTGTTCAATATAACTTCTCCCATAGATGCATTTGGCGTTGGCTCTTCCGGACGACGCTCATATATCTTTCCCATGTTTGCAACAATGCTGCAACGGAGTGGAATTCGTCTGACAAGCAGCGATGTTTCTACCTAAAAATAATTTAATTCTTAAATTAACCTTAGGTGACCATGGGTAATTTTTGATTATTTTCTTCACCACTGCAGGATCTATGAAATCCTTTAACTTTGACACGCTATATCTCTAAACTGAAA